TTGACGCGCGTCAAGGCGCTCCTGCAATTGCAAGTGCGGTATTTCCCCCACAGACCACCAGGGCGGCCGAGAAAACCTTTGTTCGACCTGAAATGACTCATTTAATCATCCATAACGTTATGGAACACATTAATTAACTGAAAAATGTTGCATAGTGTGCCTTTAACTCTAATGGAATATATGACATATGTATGTGTCACGGTTTTGGTTGTGTTTAAGTTTTCTTTTGAGTTTTCAGTTTGATCCAGTTTTTCTTTGTTTTCTAGTTTTATTGGTTTAATTGCTATTTTGTGGTGTTTTCTGGATGCATTTGACTTCTTGAATGCCCTCTGTTGCCCTCTTGTGTTGGTCTCCTTTTTTCCCTAGCTCCTTTCTAGACTCCTCTCCTCACACCTGCTCCCAATCAGCTCGTTAGTCCTGCCTTTGTTCTGGCTCCTATATATATACTCTCCCTCCACAGTTCATCGGTGCTGGTTCCTCATCTTTCCCTGGCTCCACCTGTGAGTTTTCCCCCGAAGTAGTCTGGTCTTTGGTTCCTTGTTTTTTGTACTTTGGTTTTTGGATTTTGTCTCGGATATTTCATTAAATCTACAGGAACTCACCTCTGCCTCCTCACCTCGGCATTTGGGTCCTCAAAACCTCAGCCCAACCCTGACAGTATAGCTTTCAGATAAGAAGTAGACTGACATCTGATTTTCTACCAGGCTGCTTTAATAAAAGCCCCTCAGCTCATCTGCATCTTTGGTTCTGGTGTCTCTCATCTTCCTTTTTACATCACTCTATAGATTCTCCGTGGAGTTAAGGTTAGGCCAGTTTGCTGGCTTATCAAGCCCAGTAACACCGTGGTTATAGGTTACTATGACCATGGTATAGTAAACTATAACTATATGGTATATTTACTATATCATTACTGTAACATTGAGGTCCTAATTCCTGCTGGAAAATGAGAACATAATCTTTTTCCCTACCATTGGTCGGTTGAACGTTTACTGTTCTTGCAAAATAATAAAGCGCATTACCAAACCAATACAATTAAATATTTATTTTTAGAATATTATTTTGTCACATTTCTTAGGTAAATCAATAAATAAGAATAACTTCATCATTAAAACTGCTAAAAACAATGGGCGACAGGGCCTTCGAAGCCGCAGCTCCCCGTGGATTGTTTTAAGAAAGGATTGAAAACGTTCCTTTTTAGAAATGCCTACTTTACGTGTGCCTTTTAATGTATTGATTTTAATGATTGTCTTTTTACTCTGTTTTTAATGTTATGGTCTTTTAAACTCGTTTTAATTTTCCCTTTTTTTAAATGTAGCACTTTGAGATTTGAAGTCAAATGTAAAGTGCGTTATAAATAAAATTCATTATTATTATTATTATTATAATGCTTCTTCTCAATACTCAAGGCTCACCAGTTTTATTAAGAAATTGCTTTTTGTATCTATGCTTCTTTTTCTATGTCTGCTTCTGTCTCCTCGAACCCGTCGGCCTCAGCAGATGGCCGCTCACACTGAGCCTGGTTCGAAAAAGTGTGCATGAGCGAAAGGCAGCATGCTGCAGTCACACCGCTTCAGTTTACTTTTTAACTTTCTTACTTTTATCCTTTTTTGATTGCTCTTGTTTTTTCACGGTAAGTATTGTCCTCTATAACGAGGTTTTGTTTTCAGAGAGTTTTTGTGCTTTTTTTCATGTTTTTAATCATGCCGCTCCCACCGGGACACGTAATTTCCCTCTGGGATTATTAAAGTACGTCTGATTCTGATTTTGCTGGAGGTTTCTTCCTGTTCAAAGGGAGTTTTTCCTCTCCACTGTCACTACAAGCATGCTTAGTGTGAGGGATTGCTGGAGAGTCAATGAGTCGATGCAATCAGCTGGTTTTCCTCAGATAGAAAACTTTGAATCAATCTGACTGGATGATCTGGTTGAACTGGAAAGTGTTGAGAATTGGCGGTAAACTGAATTGAATTGCTTGTTATCATTTTGTCACTTTTTCAACAGAGATGGTTCACAATGATTTTTCTGAACTAAAGTCCAAACCTCCTAAACAAGGGTTAAACTAATTAGCTGGATATATGTTGCTTTTTAGGGTCTGTTAAGCCAAATTGCATTTGCAAATGATGTGAATCTCCAAAGTTTCCATACTCACGGCAGCAGAGCTTCCTGAATGTTGCCCCACACCTGTTTCCCAGTCATGACTATCACCAGCTGTGTTGTTAGCTCAATCAGACAGCCGCCGGGGTCACACTGGAAACACACACAGATCAAGAAAACCATGGAAGATAATCCAACTCTGCCCAAAAACACACGCAGCAAAGTTAAACGTTACCTCTTCGTTTCTTAGGGTGCTTCCAAACATGTAGGCATATTTTCCAGGATAGCCCACAAACTTGCCCTTAAAGAAAGCCACGTAGAAGCAGGAAGAGTAGTAGTTAACAAACTGGAAGAGGAACATCTTCACCGTCAACTTGTTCTCATACTCCAAGTGGGTCTTTGGGATTTCTGTAAATGACAACAAAATACAGAGTTCCATGTAGATTTTTTTATACCATGGAGATTGAGTAAAGTTCTAAAGTTTTGGCCCCTCACCCATGTCAGTGATCCAAACAGCCACTCTCTCATACATAAGATTGAGGATCATGATGATGACAAAGTTGATGCAAGAGGCTGTGACAGAGGTGGCCAGCTGGGGTGTGATGTAGGGGCCGACCACCTCCAGGTGATTGGTGGGGCTGTCCTTCATGATGCTAGCGAAGGCCGCGTACACCGCCAAGCGGTAAGCTATTACGCCAATGATGCAGGCAATGATCAATGAGATCTTTAGGACAGAAAAGACAAAAACATGAAAGACGGCACCAAACAAAAACACTGAGAAAATAAAAAACTGCATCAAAAATGTATGGAACTAGATCAGTCTCAATTTTCACAAATAAACGTGATGCACACACGCACAGTACAAGATCCACACATGCATAGCACGATTCACACATGCACACAAGATCCACACATGCACAGAAAAAGATTCACCAATGTATTTCTGGTCCATTAACACTTCTAAATTAAATTACAAAGTACCGGTGCTCTTTAAACGTCACTGGATTTTGGAGAGAGTGCGGGGATAGATAGATGTCAACCATTCCCATGTTTTTAGGAAGTGTTCAAAACTTTTGGAGATCTGGGAAATGGTTTACGGTGTATTATGTGAAGTATTAGGGTATGTAATTCCAATGAAACCTGAAATTCTCTATTTGTGCAATTTTGGTGATGATACTATCCATGAAAAGGATAACTATTTGGTAAAAGTGATGTTGATAGCTGCAAAGAAATGTATAACAAGGAAATGGGGGAAGTCAAACGTGCCGTCAAAGGACCAATGGATGGACTGAAACTAGAAGAACCACAGATGGAAAAAAAAAAGGGAAAACGGACATTATATAAACAGAAAAACTGAAAAGAAGGTGCTACCCAGACATGTTCATGTTAGTTTACTTTGTTCCTTTTTATTTGTATGTTCGTTGTGTGATCAAAATAATAAATATAACTGGATTTGTGTGTGGCTTTCTGAGACTCTCTTGTGCCTCGATACAAAAATGCATTTTTAAACAGGGAATAGTTGCCACCAATCACAGAGCTCCCTTGTGAAGCTCCGACCGGGTCAAGAGCCTTAATTGTTATCTCACCAAACAGCACAAAACGTCGAGAAAATCCGCTTTGTCATATTGAAATATGGCATCTAGAAATTAGAATTATTCTTTTATATTCCCAAAAACTAAAGCCGTGTGTTTAAATTATTCGGTGCAAACTATTGTTACTTCAACATAACAGGAAGCAGTTTTCTCATCTTGGTCAATATTTTATATTGAAAGGCTTAAAAGTTTAATCAAATTCAGTCACAGCAGCTTCCATCTCACAACTTCAAAAGAAACTTCTTATGTTAGGAATGGATGACGAGATGCTGAGTTTGGATGACGAGATTTTGTGTTATTATTCCTATGCAAAGATCCACAACTAAAAGAAAATGTTTGGGCAGAAACGTGTGTGATTGATATTGATGGTGAGATTTAATTATGTCATATTAAATTAATTACCGCATGTTTTTCCTCCAATGAATTTAATAATATAGCGCACGCTCTCCTTGAGCTCCAAGGAAGTTGGAGCGGAGCAGGACGGGAGGAACCGTGGAGAATGCAGGCTTTGCTATCTGGGCATAGTCATCCCATGTGGAGTACTTTCTAGTGATTGGCTTATTTATAATAAGGAGCTTTGTGACTGGTGGCACAACATCTCGTTTTAAAAAATGCATTTGTGTATGGAGGCACGTCAAGGGAACCTCAAAAATCCACACAGAAATGCAGAGAAGTTTAAAGACAACTGTAAATTTTTTATGGACCAGAAATACTTTGGTGAATCTTGTTCTGTGCATCTGTGGATCACATGTGTGTATTTGTGAAAACTGAGATCAACTAGCTTCATAAAAAGGTAAAAACACAAATCTATGCAGCAACATGGATGTTAGGAGAAATGCAATTTTATGAGCAAACAGCATAACTAGAGATGCACTGATGAGAATTTTATATTCATTATCGAATCTCTGATCTGACTTGCTGTTTTTTTTTTTATCTTGATAATTTAGATTAGCTGTAAAATAAGAACACATTACATATTTTATAACCTTTCTACCAAATGATGTCATATCTTTTTTATTAGGAGCAGATCTAACATCACACTGCCTGTCAGATAATGGGTTTTTCTATTTTAATTAAATAATTTTAAAAAAATCTGGGAAATATTTCGTCTTTATCAGCAGCACGGTTAGCATGACCAACGCAGCAGTCTTAGTGAATATATTTTCAACAGAAAGTAGATTTTTACTTTACGTAAAGCCTTGCAAAGGGCTACTAATAGCTCTGAATCTGGTATGTTTCAAAACAAAGAATGAAAAACACAAAAAAAACAAAAAAAATTTACTCTACTCTGATTTTTGGAGTAGAGTAACGTTTAACAGGCTGAATGAAACGGATGTCTCTCCAAAATGTCATAGAAAATATAGTTTCCTTTCTAGAAGTGTCTTACATCTGTGTAAAAAATTAATGTCAATGTCATGATTGACAGGTTGAGTCACGGGAGTAAGAGACGCATTGGAGAGAGAGAGAGAGAGAGAGAGAGAGAGAGAGAGAGAGAGAGAAAAAACCACGTCCTTTTCCAGGACCTGGTTTAGCTCCAAGGCTAGGCTAACTGCAAGCAGCGAGGCTAACTGCATGCAGCGAGACTAAGTGCCTGCAGCGAGGCTAACTGCATGCAGCGAGACTAACTGCCTGCAGCGAGGCTAACTGCGTGCAGCGAGGCTAACTGCGTGCAGCGAGGCTAACTGCGTACAGCGAGGCTAACTGCGTGCAGCGAGGCTAACTGCGTGCAGCGAGGCTAACTGCGTGCAGCGAGGCTAACTGCCTGCAGCGAGGCTAACTGCCTGCAGCGAGGCT